CCTTGGGAAGCCCGGAGAGGGCGGGCAAATCGGGCGACCCTGAGCGTGAGGAGAGCTGGGTGCGAGGGGGGTCCCTGAGCTCAGGCGCTGTGTGTTTTGCTGATCCTGCTGCTGCTGCTGCTGCCTCCTGGCAAGCTTCTTCATCTGGCCGAGAAGAAGGGGAAAAAACGGGGTGAAATCATCCCCCGGCCAGAGCGAGGAGGGAGGGGAGCCCCGGCACCGGCTGCTGGCAGGGAGCTACCCCTCGTACCCACCTTTGCTCGCTGGTTCTGGAACCAGACCTGCACCACACGGACGCTCAGCCCCGTCTCAGCCGCCAGCGTCTCCCGCACCTTGGAGAGAGGAAGGACAGTGGCGTCTCAGCCCCCTCAGCTTTTTGGGGGGACTGTAGGAAGGGACAGAGCAGCCGGGGCAAGTCCTTGCCCGGCATCCAGGACATCCCCGGGGGCTGGAGGAGGCTGAGCATGGGCCCTTCTCCCCGTACCTTCCTGCAGGGCTTGGAGGAGACCTCAAACGATGCCTTGAACGCCCTCCGCTGCTGCGTGGTCAGGATCGTCCGGGGTCTCTTGGGCCGCTTGTGATCCTTCCCGTCCTCGGCGCCCTTCCCCGAGGCTTGGCCCAGTTTGCAGATGCTGTCCTCATCGTCACTTTTACCTAAGGGGGAAAAAAAAAAGCAGGTCCTTTACAGACAACGGGCAGCGCCCATCGTTTTCCAGCATGTCCAAAATAATCTGGGGGACTTGAAACAAGCTGGTGTTGGCGGGGATCTTCTTGTGAATGTGTGTGAGGAGCTGAGGTTTGGGGCTGGCTGCCCCATGGCAGCTCAGAGAGGGGGAGAGCTGCTGCAGCTCACAGTTTGGGGTCGCTCAGCCAGCAGATGGGCTTTTTGGTTCTTCTTTTCCCCAACAGTCTGAGCAATTGCGATATGAAACCCTGGCTACCTGATTTTCCCTCCATTAGACCCAAATCCCTGCTTGCTCCGCAGGGGTTTCCTGCCAGGCCACAGCTGGGGGGACACATCTGGACAGAGACACCCAGGTCGCATCCGTGCGAGGGGACAGCAGCCATCAAGGACCGCTGTGCCCCTGGGGCTGTCCCCCAGCCCAGCTGGGGACCAGGCAAATGGTCCCCCTGCCCGGACAGCCCAGGCTGAGGGAGGTCAGGGCGCAGGGGGGGCAGAGATGCTCAGAGAGGGCAACGCGTTAGCCCCCACAAACCCCTCCTGATTTGCCCTGCCACGGAGGTCAAGCACAGAGTTTTAATCACAAATATAAGGGGCACCTTTTCGCCTAGATTTCCCCCCTTCCGTGGAGTTTTAAATCTCCCTGGACAGAAGCCCAGGCTGCTTCAAGCTTCACCCCTCGGGTACTCGCTGCAACGTGCTGCTCCGTTGCGTTCCCAGGCACCGGCGTGTATCTCCCTGCTGCTCTCCGCCGCTCGGGGCCGCGGGGCCTTCGGGCAGGAGCTGCTCCGGGAAAGCCGGCAGCGCTGCCCTGCCCTCCTCATTTACCGCATCGCCACCGCGTCCATGACCTCGCTTGCATGGGAGGGCTGTAATGCAGGTTTGACAGCACAGGTCCTTCCCTCTCACGAGCGGTAAATCACTTACAGCCTTTTCCAGAAAGCTCCTCCACCATCCGTTTGGGAAACGATAACGGAGCTATGGTGCTGGTTTGATGCAGACGCAGGTTGCAAGGGCTGTGCTTGGCCCGAGTCCCATCCCGGGGCTGCCGCGTCTCTGGGAGATGGGGATGCACCAGGGGGTTGGGAGCCTGGCCCAGAGTTCATGGCTAAAGCAGTTCAGGTTGTACCCCACGGCAAGAGCTAATCATGGATCACACACATCAGAAAAGTGTAAATCCTACAGCAGCCCAGTTGGGAATGGGGAAAGACAGGAGCACATCTCCGGGGTGAGGGGAGGCAGCGATCCCAGTGGAGGAGCGAGGATGCTTTCGGGTACCAGTTACCACTTCCCT